GCCTGGGGACGCGAGCCCCGGAGCCGCTCGGCCCGAGCCTCCCCCCAACCCGCCCGGTGGGAACAAAGCCCGGGGCTCCCCAGGCGCTGACCCCTCGCTCCTCAAAAGTCAGGAGCCAGCCTAGAAGCCGGCGAGAAGAAAGGGACGCGCCCTTGGCCAAAGAAAGGAGCCTGGGGTCTTGGACCCGGAGCCATCGGTCTCTGGGCCCCATCCACGTCACGGCCAGGCCACTCCAGCATGGGGACACTAGCCAATGTGGACAGGAATTTATTTGAAACACACACCCATCCTATTAACTGCTTTACAGAGCACTTCTGTTTCTCAGCTGCAGAAAACTTACAAAAACATCCCCCGCTCCCCCCTTCCAGAGTTTAAGGACAAGAGTTTTTAATGAGAGAGAAAAGAAAAAGAGGGGAAGACGTGAAGAGGGGTCTCAGTTTGCAATTATGTCTCTTGCACAAGACTCGCCTTATAAAGCCACAGAGGTTCGGGTCGGGCACAGATGATGTCCTTCATAGGGAGACTCTACGGGAGGGGGTCAAGTTTCCAGGCGGCCACCCCAGTTGGTCAAAGCAATTGCTGGACACGTTTATATCTCCCCAGGTTCGCCTTTTCCATTCTGCTGGGCCAAGGGGGCACCACAGAAATCCCACCGGAAGTCCCCTGTCCTCCCTGCCAGAATCCCAAGCTCAGCCTGAATTGAGTCCGGATTCTCTGGGCACAGAAAGGCACCTGCTTTTACCCTTTCCGACAGCCACCCACCCAGGCTGGCCCCACAGCCCGGAGAGTCCTTTCCGACTGCACAATAATGAACCATGCAAGTGTTAGAAATATAATAAGCTCATGAGGCGAGGAGCTGTATGTATGGAATCACATTAGCATTACGCACACGTGGATGCAGGAGGAAAAGGGGTGCCTGGCTGATGAAAGCTATCATGTCACCATGTAGAAGGCATTTTACACAATATAATTTGGGTTCAAATTAATGTAAATATCTAACTTGTTCGAGACAGATGACCCCCCTTTCCATGTTAGTCCAGAAACGAGACTCCAAAAAAATTTTTTTTCAGCTAGGGCCCTGGGAGAAAAGATTGCCTCTAGGGAATCATGTCCGATTAGGGACAAAGGAAAGCACAAGCCAAATTCTGTCACACATGAGAGAGTAAGGGGGGTAACG